TAATTGGATTAAATTCTAAAATATCACAAAATTCATGTGATAAACCCGAATTATTAAAACCGGTTCCAACCTCTAATTCATATATAACATATATATATTTTGCAAAAATTGTAATTGTACTAACAAAAAACTTTTTTTACTTGTAATTGTGCAAGTAATTTTTGTTCTGAATTTTAAACACTGGTGGGAACAGAATTTAAGTGGGTTTGGAATTTTTTATTAAATTACAATTTTAGGTAATTTTAGAGTACGTAGAATTTATTTTAGAGTGACGCCTGGGTAAATTTGCTTAAGGAATTTTTCTATGTACTGTAGATAGGGTTGGAAAATTACCGTAATTTTATAAAACTAAAGTTCCGAACCCAATGATGGATATTAATGCCGGCAAAACTTTTGTAATGCTAGTGCAATTATCATGTGACAATGCGCTATATGTAATAGTTATATCCTGGGCAATTGGGTATAAGCGGGGCTGAAAGTCCCGCTTATACACATAGTGCACAGGGTATAACTGATTTATGCCCCTAACTGTAGATCGTGCAATTTTTTTTGTATAACGCGAAATCGAAGGCTTTTTCAAAACATCCCTAACTGTAGATCGTGCAATTTTTGTATAACGCGAAATCTAAGGCTTTTTCAAAACATCACCGGTAACTCAAAATCTTGCCTAAGAAATCATCTTTTACGTTCTAATTAAAAAAATTCCTGGCCAATTTTATTAACATATCCTTCCTTATTCCAAACCTAACCCTAACCCTAATGCTGGTCAAATTTCACAAATAAGTAAATCCGGGTAATTTATTTGCCCAGGCGTCAAATAAGATTTTCTCTTTATTTTATATAAACCTACACCCTAACCCTAAAATCCTAAGAAATTCCAAATCCACTTAAATTCCGTTCCTACTTACAGCAATAACACATGAATATCACAACGTTAGAATTAAGGTTAGGTTATGACGTATATATATTGTAAATGGTAATTTCTTAGTTAAAGTTTTGTGTTACCAACGGTGAAATCTCATACTCACATCCTGGATAAGAAATTGTGTTTGGAAAGAGTGTACTTGCGTACGTAAGTATGTACGTATATACGCACACATGCTTCTAGGCAGCGGGTTTCTCACGATTTATACATCTCTCATCGCGGTTATTTTAAATCCAAGCTTTAAATGCCTTAAATGTCCGAAATATCTTCAAAACTTTGCAATTATTTCGAATTCTACAGATCTGCAGTATTCGAAAATATAAGGTGAAGTAGGGTATTCTGACGCACCTAAGAGTGCTAATAGTCAAAGTTTTCAGAAAAAAAAATATTATTCACAAATTTTATAAAAATAAACTAATATTCGATCTAATATCTATCGTCAAACTAATAAACGCCTTAAATTTTAAAACAAAACTCGATAATTTGAACTTTCAAAAACTATTTGAAAACTGTTATGTTTTGTGAGTTGGGGGGTATTTTGACGCACTATGCAAATCCGATTAGACCTCAGTGTTAATTATCTAAATTTAGCAAAATTCTATTTACACTAGCTCTTTTTGTACTTTCGATTTTGCTGACCTCTCCCCCTTAAATTGCTCAGATAGGAAAAAAGAGAAAATAACGTAAGAACTACACAATAAGTCTAACCTTCCCTCAAGTCTTGATCAGAATTGAATAATTTTTGTATCATTCGATCCGTCTCAGTAAAACGAATCGAATGGTACTAAAATTGTTTGATTCTGATCAGTGTATCGCAAGATATTATAAAAAAACTGAAGTGCGTCAAAATACCCCCCTGCGTCACCTTATAATCAGGCAATTGGAGAGAAATATATTTTTTTTTAGAATTTTGAATATATATACTGTATATATATATTAAAAGATTTTTTTTTTTTTGTACAAATATCTATATTGTGTATCCTGATACCGCATGATACAGTAAATGTTCTACAAAGCTTGTCTGAATTTTTTTTTTCAAGTTTTAACGTTAACGTCAAGCTACGCTCCAAAAGGAAATGTCCAAATTAATTTCGGGATTTGGTTACATAAAGCTTTTAAAGTGTCATGTGGCATTAACGAACGCGGTAATTTATCGTGAAATAAAAAAAACATATTCGCACGCTAGAATCGGAAATTTTATTTTGCACAAGACTTACGTATTCAATCGAGTAATTCCTATAATGGTATTACGAATTATGTTACTTGTGGCGGGTTTTTTTTTTCTGCAAGTTCTCACAAAGATATATGTAACGTTAAATTTTTATTGTAAATTTTGACCTTAAGTAATTTCGAATAGTTTCTTTACGATACGATTCTAAATGACCGAACTTTTCAAGTCCTTTTAGCACGTTAAAGTTAGGGATGTTATTAGATATGGGCAGTTTAGTTAACTATTATTATTTATTATTTCTAATTATTTCTTATCATTTTTTGCGTAATAATTAATAATACTTAAAAAATTGTGATAAGCAAAAACTTAACTTGATCAGCAAATTATTGAGTTTAAAATTTGCTTTCCAGATTATATTTGTAAAATGTAATAAGTAATAATCATTCATCATAGGAATAATTAGTAATAATAGGTATGGGGTAAAAAATAAGTAATTATTACTTACATGATTACCTTGCCCATCTCTAGACGTTATCCTGCTTGTTCGAACTCAGTTCGAGTTTTTGCGGCCACATGATTTTCATTACTATATTTAAACACCTCATGCTCCAAACGAATTTTAATTAACTTTAGACTTTTAATTACTGTTGAACAGTTTGTTCATTCAACTGAACCTACCTCTTCAGATTCGATGTCTCAAATGCACTTTCGTTGAGACGATTTAGTTCACAAAGCATTTTAAAACTATATTATGATAAGCAAAATGAACTTGGGAATGTTTTTAACTAAGTCAGATTCTTGGACCTTTTGCAAGAGCGAAGAAATGTTTTCGAAGGCAAAAAAATACAATCAACTCAATACGTAATAGGTTGTCTGAGGAAAATGCTTTCGCAAGCCTCTGCTTAAAGACCTGGTATTTTGTGGGTATTGTGATGAAGGTTAATAATTGGGTATAATCAATTGCGTAGATAAATAAATAAATAATAGTGATAGGTACAATAAACGTTATAATGCAAAAATTTTAAGTGTAACTTTTATATATTCGCTTTAATAATAATAATAACGTTAACACGGGTTTTTAAGCACAAAGTAACCGGTTGGAGCAGGATTACATCCCTAGTTAAAATATAATATATCGATTTTGAAAACTCATTTGGACTAAAAATTAATTTTACTCTATAATCAATGTATATTCCCGAATATAAGCTAATTTTCGAAATATTGAGTTTTTAGAAAAATTAAAATATCTTCGTGAATATTTGTATTTAAGAGTACAAAGATGGTTTACTTTGTAAAATTTGATTTTTATATGTAGAATCGATTTACCATTTCTCTGATTTTTGCAAAAAACAAAATTAGCCAGGGCGGCCCCTAAAGTGCTGGTGGCATAATCACGGCGTAAATATATATATTGCAATATCTGATATTGAATACGTACGTACGTACTGTACCGTACAGTACAATTGCTGTCTAAAAAAAAAAGTGATCTACAATATCACCCATTCCTGCGTCATCCAAAAATAGAAATTTCTAAAGACGTAGATCGCGATAAAAAATCAATTCCAATGGGCTGGTCAATTTCAATGGACCATTATTAATCTTTTTGAAAGTTTAAATTACTACGCAAAAATCATTAATTATGTATAACCTGTAGATAAGAACCTGTTTGTTGTGATACATGGATCAGGTATAGAAAATTTAATAGTACGCGTTCTATAGTGATTAAATTTAAGCGGTCACAATTTAGATTTGTCGCCTTTAAAAAATGAAGGCGCAAAACAAACATTCTTGAAAAGTAATTACCAAAGTTAGCATTACAGAATTGGGGATAGACCCTACGAACCAAGTACTTAACAAGTCTTTTGGACCGTATCATACTTAAAAAAAATTTAACAAGTCTTTCATACTGTATCATACTATCATGCTTAAAAATTCTTTATACTATGTCTAATAAAAATGCAATTAAATACTTTTCTAAAAATCAATATAACATTAATAATATACCTCGAATTAATCAAAGGAAACCAATACCTTATCAGAGGATACTTAAGCCTAATAAAAAGGTTAAGAGAAAACATCCACGCTCTAATCGCGAACAAAAAGAACAAGATTCAATAGACCTACCCCCTCAACCTTTAAATGAAGAGCATGGAATGGATCCATTCCCTCAACCTTTAAATAAAGAGCATGGAATGGATCCACCCCCTCAACCTTCGAGCTCACCACTTGGAGAAGAGATTTCAGAGACCGATATGTACAGTATGTAAAGATCTCTGAATTTATATGTTCTTATTATTATCATTATTATTTGAATTATACTTACATTTATGACACATACGTACGTACGTACATGCCGCATACAGACTTAGCACCAAACCCTTATTGTTATTATGAGTATTTTGGTACGTATTCATTATTTATTTATTAATCATGGATTTTTATTCTCACATATCAGACATATATTTATTAACGTCATCATATTGCAATAATAGGGTTATGAAGACAACATGTTTACATGGATAACCCGGACCTCTAATATCTATGTAGTTAAATTCTGGCCACATAAAATTGATAGTGTCCTCTAAATTTTGGTTTATTAATAACGAGAATGTATTTTTTGAGAGAGTTGTAATTTATCAACGAACTAGAATTAGATCAATAATTATAAGTTATCCGGCAGCTTACTATGATAGTGCTTGCCAAATAACTCGAGTTATTTGGCAGTGATTACGTCATCTGCCAAA